TCGGCCTAGCTATACATAAACACAATATGTAAATAATAATATACATTTCAGAAACGAACACGTCTGTTATTATTCCACGTGTAGCAATCTTCCCGTCTGTCGGTTGTCTGTTGTCTAAGTCAAATACTGACTTTTTAAAAGACTGAGTGAGTCGGTGTTTAACATAACTTCAGAGCATTGGTTGCTCATGTGACACATATATATGTATTTATGTATTCAAATGTATACATATATATTTATGTGGCAAATGAATACATGGAACGTTATCACAGGAAAATATATTTGAAGTAACGATTTTTAGAATATTTTGTGATACCATTTTTTTTTCTTTTCAATTTTTCATACAATTTGACGCTCAGCAAATTGTGGTGGATAGATGGGTGGATTGAAGTGATTTGTCCCCCCATTCTCAAAATCCAACCCGTTCTCGTACTTTCTTTTTGTCAATATTGACTTATTAAATAAGTGCATATGTGACATACTAATTTATTGTGAATATTTCCGTTTTCTTATTAAGTAATAATTGAAAAGCTTCATAGAAAACACCGACCTTACCTAACCTTCTTAGTATATTAAGATAAGCATCTTATTGCTTCGTAATTACAATTATTACTTAACCTATACCTATAATAGGTTAAGTAATAATTATAATTACTAAGCAATAAGATGCTTATCTTAACATACTAAGAAGATTAGGTAAGGTCGGTGTTTTCTATGAACCTTTTCAAGGTAAACTAAAATATTCACAATAAATTAGTATGTCACATATGCACTTATTTAATAAGTCAATATTGACTATACGAAAGTGCGAGAACGGGTTGTCAAAATCAGTACCACCGTATAATATAAGGTGGTATAAATAACTGAATCCAATATTATACTTACATACTGGCAGGCCTTGGTACTAGAACATTTTCTTCACCCCTGAGTAAGAGAATAAATAGCATATTGACCTCTGAAAACAACAACAATTTTATATCAAGATTTGACTTTCAGGGTTATAAGGAAAAAATACATTTTATGCACCAATTTTCATCTGTGACTGCGTCATCTGGCGCAGTTGATGATGAATGTGATTTTTATTAAAAAAAATGTTATATTCTTGTGCAATATAGCACTCTCACATTGACTTTAATTTTGGTGTTTTATTGGTGATGGGTGTGGGTGATGGTGGTTGATCAGTTGTGGGTGGTTAGTGGGTGGTTAGTGGGTGGTGGATGTAAGTAATCTTACATCCACCAGTTAGGTGCTGGTGGGTGACACTGCTAGGTGCCAGTGGGGTGACACTGCTAGGTGCCAGTGGGAGACACTGCTAGGTGCCAGTGGGGTGACACTGCTAGGTGCCAGTGGGGTGACACTGCTAGGTGCCAGTGGGATGACACGGCTAGGTGCCAGTGGGGTGACACTGCTAGGTGCCAGTAAGGTGACACTGCTAGGAGCCAGTGGGTGACATTGCTAGGTGCCAGTGGGAGACACTGCTAGGTGCCAGTGGGGTGACACTGCTAGGTGCCAGTGGGTGACACTGCTAGGTGCCAGTGGGAGACACTGCTAGGTGCCAGTGGGAGACACTGCTAGGTGCCAGTGGGGTGACACTGCTAGGTGCCAGTGGGAGACACTGCTAGGTGCCAGTGGGAGACACTGCTAGGTGCCAGTGGGAGACACTGTTAGGTGCCAGTGGGAGACACTGTTAGGTGCCAGTGGGGTGACACTGCTAGGTGCCAGTGGGAGACACTGCTAGGTGCCAGTGGGAGACACTGCTAGGTGCCAGTGGGGTGACACTGCTAGGTGCCAGTGGGAGACACTGCTAGGTGCCAGTGGGAGACACTGCTAGGTGCCAGTGGGAGACACTGCTAGGTGCCAGTGGGAGACACTGTTAGGTGCCAGTGGGGTGACACTGCTAGGTGCCAGTGGGTGACATTGCTAGGTGCCAGTGGGGTGACACTGCTAGGTGCCAGTGGGAGACACTGCTAGGTGCCAGTGGGAGACACTGCTAGGTGCCAGTGGGGTGACACTGCTAGGTGCCAGTGGGAGACACTGCTAGGTGCCAGTGGGAGACACTGCTAGGTGCCAGTGGGGTGACACTGCTAGGTGCCAGTGGGAGACAATGCTAGGTGCCAGTGGGAGACACTGCTAGGTGCCAGTGGGAGACACTGCTAGGTGCCAGTGGGGTGACACTGCTAGGTGCCAGTGGGAGACACTGCTAGGTGCCAGTGGGAGACACTGCTAGGTGCCAGTGGGAGACACTGCTAGGTGCCAGTGGGAGACACTGTTAGGTGCCAGTGGGGTGACACTGCTAGGTGCCAGTGGGAGACACTGCTAGGTGCCAGTGGGAGACACTGCTAGGTGCCAGTGGGGTGACACTGCTAGGTGCCAGTGGGAGACACTGCTAGGTGCCAGTGGGAGACACTGCTAGGTGCCAGTGGGGTGACACTGCTAGGTGCCAGTGGGAGACACTGCTAGGTGCCAGTGGGTGACACTGCTAGGTGCCAGTGGGGTGACACTGCTAGGTGCCAGTGGGAGACACTGCTAGGTGCCAGTGGGGTGACACTGCTAGGTGCCAGTAAGGTGACACTGCTAGGTGCCAGTGGGTGACATTGCTAGGTGCCAGTGGGAGACACTGCTAGGTGCCAGTGGGGTGACACTGCTAGGTGCCAGTGGGGTGACACTGCTAGGTGCCAGTGGGTGACATTGCTAGGTGCCAGTGGGTGACATTGCTAGGTGCCAGTGGGGTGACACTGCTAGGTGCCAGTGGGGTGACACTGCTAGGTGCAAGTGGGTGACATTGCTAGGTGCCAGTGGGGTGACACTGCTAGGTGCCAGTGGGGTGACACTGCTAGGTGCCAGTGGGGTGACACTGCTAGGTGCCAGTGGGGTGACACTGCTAGGTGCCAGTGGGGTGACACTGCTAGGTGCCAGTGGGAGACACTGCTAGGTGCCAGTGGGTGACACTGCTAGGTGCCAGTGGGGTGACACTGCTAGGTGCCAGTGGGGTGACACTGCTAGGTGCCAGTGGGGTGACACTGCTAGGTGCCAGTGGGAGACACTGCTAGGTGCCAGTGGGTGACACTGCTAGGTGCCAGTGGGTGACAGCTGGCCAGACGCCAAACCAGCCCCCACCTCACCATCATAAGCTAATTCACATTCCAGGGAGCACCGCCTAGCGGGCGCCACCTCCAGATAAGACCAGACACAGGAATATGTATTCTGTGTGTACGAATATATATATATATATATATATATATATATATATATATATATATATATATATATATATATATATATATATATATATATATATACCAACGGAGAGGTCCTCCAACCAAGCGCCTTCCGAGCATAAACAGCCTTGTCGCGCCGCGCAGACAAGCCCTCCAAATCGGCAGTTTGAAAACCTTTTTCCAAGGCCGTAAATATTATTGCAGCCAAGCCATCATCTCAGCGCACATCTTCCCCCCCCCCCCCCCCCCTCCCACACACACACACACACACACACACACACACACACACACACACACACACACACACACACACACACACACACACACGCACACACGCACACGAGAGCTATGAGCACCGTTATATCGCCTCTTGTGACTATTTTTATCGCCAGTACGAGAGATTGAGGCAGTCATATTAAGGGGGGCTCCCGGCATCTATATTCCACACTAGAGGATCCTTTATGCATGTAATCATTTAGGGTTGAGGAGAGATCAAGGAGGTTCGAGATAGTGGGGTTCGAGGCCTCCCTGGGTAGGAGCAGCTAGGAAGAAGCTTCTGAGAGAGTCTGAAAGCTCTCTTTACTGCACAAATATATATTGTGAGGGGTCGTAAACCCCTGCCTCTGGCGGGCCGACGACTCCGTCAGTGTCGCCACCACCTCCTTCCTCACGCTCTCAATATTATGAAGACTTTTATCTTAAAACTCTTGTATGTAAAAACAATTGTAAATAAGATCTAGGTCTCAAGCCCATTGTTGATGGAGCCGGTCGGCCGAGCGGACAGCACGCTGGACCTGTGATCATGTGGTCCTGGGTTCGAACCCAGGCGCCGGCGAGAAACAATGGGCAGAGTTTCTTTCACCCTATGCCCCTGTTACCTAGCAGTAAAATAGGTACCTGGGTGTTAGTCAGCTGTCACGGGCTGCTTCCTGGGGGTGGAGGCCTGGTCGAGGACCGGGCCGCGGGGACACTAAAAAAAGCCCCGAAATCATCTCAAGATAACCTCAAGACGGTGTCCCAACGTCAAGAAACTGTCGTATTAATGTGCCTCCTTATCCTAACCTACCAGAGGACCCAAAACAGAAAACGGGACAGTACGTCACTTTCGCCAGCCGCTTCCATTTTCTAGTACGACAGTTTTCGACCTTAGGTACGTCTAAATGCGACGTAAAATGCTACATACGTCTAAATGCGACGTAAAATGCTACATACGTCTAAATGCGACGTAAAATGCTACATACGTCTAAATGCGACGTAAAATGCTACATACGTCTAAATGCGACGTTTTAGAAGGACGCGTTGAGGGCAATGAAGAACAAAATGTACTAAGAGTTTTCTGTTCTTCAGGAGTGAAGAACAGAACTCTGACCTTTGACCCTCGTCTTCCCTACTGACTTCCCCACTAGCCCCATTAACGACATTAAGGGGTGTTACCTTAATGTCCTTAAGGGTATACAGAGACACGTAAGACACAGGCAAGCTCCAGATTGAGAATTATAATCTTTACTCGTAAGAACTTACACAAAGCATTACGATAATGGCTGGACTAGACAGATTACCAAATCAAACTTGAATTAGGATGATAAGGAGAATTTAAAGAACTAATATCCACTAATTATACCATGATGTTAAATAGAATTATCACACCCCGTGTGTCACATTAACAGATATCGGGGCTTCACACGCACCCTCAGAGAGACGGTTCACGCAACGGTGATTCAGAACAGAACTCCAAATGCCTGTCAATAAAGCCCTAGGTCTCTTTGTGACAGTAGTTCTGTCATGATTCCAAATATTCAACTTTCTCTGGCTGAGTTTGTAGGATGGATAAATCCCTTCACACGAAAGGATCTTATTCGTTTGTGGGAAAAGTTCATAGGTCAGGAGTCGTCCTTAGGTCAGGAGTCGTCCTTAGGTCAGGAGTCGTCCTTAGGTCAGGAGTCGTCCTTAGGTCAGGAGTCGTCCTTAGGTCAGGAGTTGTCCTTAGGTCAGGAGTCGTCCTTAGGTCAGGAGTCGTCCTTAGGTCAGGAGTCGTCCTTAGGTCAGGAGTCGTCCTTAGGTCAGGAGTCGTCCTTAGGTCAGGAGTCGTCCTTAGGTCAGGAGTCGTCCTTAGGTCAGGAGTTGTCCTTAGGTCAGGAGTCGTCCTTAGGTCAGGAGTCGTCCTTAGGTCAGGAGTCGTCCTTAGGTCAGGAGTCGTCCTTAGGTCAGGAGTCGTCCTTAGGTCAGGAGTCGTCCTTAGGTCAGGAGTCGTCCTTAGGTCAGGAGTCGTCCTTAGGTCAGGAGTCGTCCTTAGGTCAGGAGTCGTCCTTAGGTCAGGAGTTGTCCTTAGGTCAGGAGTCGTCCTTAGGTCAGGAGTCGTCCTTAGGTCAGGAGTCGTCCTCAGGTCAGGAGTCGTCCTTAGGTCAGGAGTCGTCCTTAGGTCAGGAGTCGTCCTTAGGTCAGGAGTCGTCCTTAGGTCAGGAGTCGTCCTCAGGTCAGGAGTCGTCCTCAGGTCAGGAGTCGTCCTCAGGTCAGGAGTCGTCCTCAGGTCAGGAGTCGTCCTCTTATCAGGGAGGTAACAACAGCAGCATTTTGCAGGTCCCATATTTCACATTTTATATATATATATATATATATATATATATATATATATATATATATATATATATATATATATATATATATATATATATACAGAATAACCACATATGAAAAATAGAAAATGCTTAACGCGTTTTCGGCTAATTCGCCTTCATCAGAGCAAAGTAGAATCATTCTACTTCTACTTTGCTCTGATGAAGGCGAATTAGCCGAAAACGCGTTAAGCATTTTCTATTTTTCATATGTGGTTATTCTGCATACTTGGATCAGTGTTTTTGTGATCATTGTTGCATATATTTATATATATATATATATATATATATATATATATATATATATATATATATATATATATATATATATATATATATATATATATATATATATATATATATATATATATATATATATAAAAGTCCTGTCAGGTAAACGAGTCCTGTCAGGTAAAACAACTACATCACACCTGAAAGGACTGTGCGTTAGACTGTACCTCATAAGATACAGGGGAACACATGTGGCCTTAACCCATAACACACCTGGCCTTAGCCAGTAACACACCTGGACTTTATATTCAGCACAAAATATCGGGTTCACCCCCCCCCCCACCCACTCCCCACAAAAAGGTACATAGCATCAGAGATACATTTTATTCCAATAGCACAATGGGGCTAAAGCCGTGTACAAACGTCGCAAGGTGCAGTTAGCTTCGCTAGGCAACGCCCATGGCGCCACAGGCAGCTCTAATTGGAATGTTATTTTGAGCTTTCAGGGAGCATCAGAGTCAATCACCACCTGGCGGACCTTTATTAACCTGGTGGTGAGTGTGCTTGGGGCCCGCTGTGTTGCTTGGGGCCCGCTGTGTCGTCTAGGGCCCGCTGTGTCGTCTAGGGCCCGCTGTGTCGTCTAGGGCCCGCTGTGTCGTCTAGGGCCCGCTGTGTCGTCTAGGGCCCCCTGTGTCATGCTTGGGGCCCTCTGTGTTGCTTGGGGCCCGCTGTGTTGCTTGGGGCCCGCTATGTTGCTTGGGGCCCGCTGTGTCGTCTAGGGCCCCCTGTGTCATGTGTAGGGCTCCCTGTGTCATGCTTGGGGCCCGCTGTGTTGCTTGGGGCCCGCTGTGTCGTCTAGGGCCCCCTGTGTCATGAGTCGGGCTCCCTGTGTCATGCTTGGGGCCCGCTGTGTTGCTTGGGGCCCGCTGTGTCGTCTAGGGCCCCCTGTGTCATGAGTCGGGCTCCCTGTGTCATGCTTGGGGCCCGCTGTGTTGCTTGGGGCCCGCTGTGTCGCCTAGGGCCCCCTGTGTCATGAGTCGGGACCTCTGTGTCATGCTTGGGGCTCCCTGTGTCATGCTTGTGTGTTTGCTTTCATTGAAATGCGCGTTTTTACTGGACTGGACGGTAGAGCGACGGTCTCGCTTCATGCAGGTCGGCGTTCAATCCCCGACCGTCCAGGTGATTGGGCACTATTCCTTCCCTCGTCCCATCCCAAATCCTTATCCTGACCCCTTAAGAGTGCTACATAGTCGTCATGACTCTCCTCTCAGTTCCCTTCTTGAGCACGATTATTATTCCTGTGATTAGCTTGATTATTATAATGTAACTCGTTTCGTACACACGAATAAACAGCAGTTACTCCTGTTACAGTCACTCCTGTTACAGTTACTCCTGTTACAGTTACTCCTGTTACAGTTACTCCTATTACAGTCACTCCTGTTACAGTTACTCCTGTTACAGTTACTCCTGTTACAGTTACTCCTATTACAGTCACTCCTGCTACAGTTACTCCTGTTACAGTTACTCCTGTTACAGTTACTCCTATTACAGTTACTCCTATTACAGTCACTCCTGCTACAGTTACTCCTGTTACAGTTACTCCTGTTACAGTTACTCCTATTACAGTCACTCCTGCTACAGTTACTCCTGTTACAGTTACTCCTGTTACAGTTACTCCTGTTACAGTTACTCCTATTACAGTCACTCCTGCTACAGTTACTCCTGTTACAGTTACTCCTGTTACAGTTACTCCTATTACAGTTACTCCTGCTACAGTTACTCCTATTACAGTCACTCCTGCTACAGTTACTCCTGTTACAGTTACTCCTGCTACAGTTACTCCTGTTACAGTTACTCCTATTACAGTTACTCCTGTTACAGTTACTGTTTCAAGTGAGATGTGAGTGTGGGTACTAGTCTGCTATTTGTGCCTGCATGAGAGATCTGTTTAGCTCTTGGACCCCGCCTTTCTAACCGTCGGCTGTCTAATATATACTGACTCCCGACCTGTTTTTCTCCATCGTATCAACTGCATCTTTAGAACCTCTTGGACCTGCGCTTCCGAATATCTTGGGTTTCGAATTCGAACGTCTTAAAATTGCAAAGAGACATTGATATTGCTGTCCGAGTAAATAGAGAGAGCCCTGGTTCGAGCCTGATGGACCGAAAAGCTGATTTACAAGGATTTAACCCAAGCCTGTAAGTCTATATCCGGCTTACTGGAGTAGACTTCCCATCAGTGCGACCTGTGTCTTCCAAACCAAGCTTGTGGTAAAGCCAAGTTTTAGTAACCTAAAATTTTAATATAATTGGGTTTGATTATACCAAATTTTTTCTAAAATCAGGCCTGATTAAACCGTTTTTTAATGAATTCCGGTATATATATACTCTCTGGAGTATATTTCGGAGTATATTCTTGACATATATTCCAAGTAAGGAGAATATGTCAAGGATGCTTCGTCTCTCCATCTCGCAGCCTCCGTTCCACCGTCGTTTCCAGTGGTGCATCTCCCCCTCTTCCCAGCCTCACATGGAGATATGGACACGAAGACAACAGTCAGGCGGGTCCAGGAGCTTGACCATGCATGCTCGGCCGCTTGTTGACTCGGCCACCAAAACTGGACTAGCTTTGTATATGTGACTAGCGATCAGGACTGACTGAAGAATGGGGTAATATTTACCTCATGACATAATGAGTCAGAGAGAGGGAGGGAGGGAGGGAGGGACTGAGAGGGAGGGAGGGAGGGAGGGAGGGAGGGAGGGAGGGAGGGAGGGACTGAGAGGGAGGGAGGAAGAGGGAAGTGAGGGAATGAGGAAGAGACGTAAGAGGGAAACAGTGATGGGCAAACGGACAGACAAATGAAGATAGTGTGTTTGAAGCAGCGAGTGAGAGAGAGAGAAAGAGAGAGAGAATGAGATTAAAGATAGGGGGAAAGAGACTACAGGAAGCGATGCCAGGAGATGCAAGAGCATCATTAGAGACGTTTACGGCGGAGGCAAGACAGGGGTGAGGGATGCTGGCGTTCCCAACACTTGCAGTTGGGTCATAAACTTCAAGTTTAGACACCAAGCCACTTTACACAGTCTTTATGGAGGGAAAAATATTACGGGCGGCAGGGAGTGTTTAGGGGGTCAAGTTTGGACTAAATGGCTGCATGAAATGGTCCAGTTTACTGCGAGAAATTAGGAGCAGTACGCCAGCCAGGGAGAGTGAGATGTTGTACATGTGAGCTTACTTACCTACAGCTCCGGTCTTCTCCGTCACTCTTCTTATAAGATGCGCGGCCGACTGCAGGATTCAGCTGTTAGCTCTTGGACCCTGTCTTTCTATCCGTTGGTTGTCTAATGTATTGATTTTCGACCTATTTTTCCTGATTATATCTACTATATATTTTTGTCACACACGCTCGCGTATGTACGCACACGCACACACGCACGCACACGCACGCACACGCACACACACACACACACACACACACACACACACACACACACACACACACACACTCGAAATGTGGAGACCAAAGAGCCAAAGCTCAACCCCCGCAAGCACAAATAGGTGAGTACACACACACCCACGCACGCACACACACACACACACACACACACACACACACACACACACACACACACACACGCACACGCACACATACGCACGTTCGTGCGCACATACAGATCTACAGGTCCTTGCAGCCGAGCGGACAACGTTTGGGATTACTCTACAACCCCAGGTTTCATACCCAGCCATTTCGTAACTACCCCGGTAATTAAATCAGCCCATCCTCACCATCCTCACCAAGTCCAAATGCTTGGTTATCCAGCCGCCAAACTACTTGTTTATATATACAAATGATGAACAATTTAATGCGATGAGCAATTTATGCAAATGATGAGCAATTTACACCTGCTGGTGAGAGGTCACCCTACTAGTGTCCTCCCTGGAACACAACCTGCCAATCACTTTACTCCCAGGTGCCCTAGATGGAAAACTCCACCACACAGATACATATGAATCATCATATGTATGTAGACAGGCCACATGGACAAAGGGACATGTGTAGCATAAATCCAGCAACGCTACAACTACATAATCTCCACATATTTACTTAATATAGTGCCAAGATCATGTCAAGAGTGTTCACATGAGTCTTAAACTGCTTGGCTCCCGGAGTCAAGATAACATACAGGAATGTGTAAAGATAACATACAGGAATGTGTATTATTGTAAACTTGTCTAGATTTAATAGATATAATTGTGTTATTAACTCTGTTATTAACTACAGCTCTGTATAGCTATGTGTGTGTATAACTACAAGGCCAACTACTGACCATCTCCAGGATACAACCACCTGAAACTTACTCTCAGGTCCTTATGTACTACTGGGTGAACAGAGGCATGAGGTGAACGGTAACCCTTGTTCATTTGTCTCCGCACTGGCCGGGATTCTAAACCTGGGGACAGTGGCTGAGAATTGAGGTCGTTCACTCTCTCTCTAACTCTCCCTCTCCCCCCTCTCTTGACTCTCCCTCCCCCCCTCCCCCTCTCAGGAAGGGGGGGAGGGGGGGGGGGGAGACACTAAAGTGAGGGATGGCAGGCTGAGTCGACGAATAAGTTGGGGATTAAGTCATGCTAATTTAACCCACAAGTCGTCCAAAATTTCTGCCTCGGACAAGACCGCTGTCAGAAAAAGTTCCCTTTCTTATCCAGGCCGTCTTGCCCCCCCCCCCTCGCTCGCTCTACACTACGGGCTCACCATAGCCCGTGCTACTTGGAGCTTTGTTCCAGGTAGGGAATCTTTAACAACAACAACAACAACAATCCCGCCAACGCATTTTCCCCAAGTGTCCCACATGCACTCACACGCTAACTCCTGTTTTGCAGCCTATGTTTATCAGCATTAACTACCCGGTGGTGTGGTGTACAGTAACACCACACAACACCACACAACACCATGCAACACAACACCACAACACAACACCACAACACAACAACACACCACAACACAACACCACACCACAACACCACAACACAACACAACACAACACCACAACACAACACCACACCACAACACAACACCACAACACAACACCACACCACAACACAACACCACAACACAACAACACACCACAACACAACACCACACCACAACACAACACCACACCACAACACAACACCACAACACAACACCACACCACAACACAACACCACAACACAACACCACACCACAACACAACACCACAACACCACACCACAACACAACAACACACCACAACACAACACCACACCACAACACCACAACACAACACAACACCACACCACAACACAACACCACAACACCACACCACAACACAACAACACACCACAACACAACACCACACCACAACACCACAACACAACACAACACCACACCACAACACCACACCACAACACAACACCACACCACAACACAACACCATGCAACACAACACCACAACACAACACCACAACACAACACCACACCACAACACAACACCACACCACAACACCACACAACACCACAGTAGGAGGAGGGGAGGGGGAGAAGGGAACGTATCATCCACCACTCGCCACACACACCAGGTTACTCTTCACACCTCACCGAGTACATTTTCCACTACATATATAAGAGTAAGGTCACCCAGCTGTGTCCCTGTGTCCATAGTTGTGTCCCTGTGTCCCCAGCTGTGTCCCTGTGTCCCCAGCTGTGTCCCTGTGTCCCCAGCTGTGTCCCTGTGTCCCCAGCTGTGTCCCTGTGTCCATAGTTGTGTTCCTGTGTCCCCAGCTGTGTCCCTGTGTCCCCAGCTGTGTCCCTGTGTCCCCAGCTGTGTCCCTGTGTCCCTAGCTGTGTCCGTGAGTCCCCAGCTGTATCCCTGTGTCCCCCAGCTGTGTCCCTGTGTCCCCAGCTGTGTCCCTGTGTCCCCAGCTGTGTCCGTATGTCCCCAGCTGTGTCCCTGTGTACCCAGCTGTGTCCATGTGTCCCCAGCTGTGTCCCTGTGTCCCTGTGTCCCCAGCTGTGTCCCTGTGTCCCCAGCTGTGTCCATGTGTCCCCAGCTGTGTCTCTGTGTACCCAGCTGTGTCCCTGTGTACCCAGCTGTGTCCCTGTGTCCCTGTGTCCCCAGCTGTGTCCCTGTGTCCCCAGCTGTGTCCCTGTGTCCCCAGCTGTGTCCCTGTGTACCCAGCTGTGTCCCTGTGTACCCAGCTGTGTCCCTGTGTACCCAGCTGTGTCCCTGTGTACCCAGCTGTGTCCCTGTGTCCCTGTGTCCCCAGCTGTGTCCCTGTGTCCCCAGCTGTGTCCCTGTGTACCCAGCTGTGTCCCTGTGTCCCTGTGTCCCCAGCTGTGTCCCTGTGTCCCCAGCTGTGTCCATGTGTCCCCAGCTGTGTCCCTGTGTACCCAGCTGTGTCCCTGTGTCCCCAGCTGTGTCCCTGTGTACCCAGCTGTGTCCCTGTGTCCCTGTGTCCCCAGCTGTGTCCCTGTGTCCCCAGCTGTGTCCCTGTGTCCCCAGCTGTGTCCCTGTGTCCCCAGCTGTGTCCATGTGTCCCCAGCTGTGTCCCTGTGTACCCAGCTGTGTCCCTGTGTCCCTGTGTCCCCAGCTGTGTCCCTGTGTCCCCAGCTGTGTCCCTGTGTCCCCAGCTGTGTCCCTGTGTCCCCAGCTGTGTCCATGTGTCCCCAGCTGTGTCCCTGTGTACCCAGCTGTGTCCCTGTGTCCCCAGCTGTGTCCGTGTTCACTAGCCTAGCACAACATCAGCCCTTCATACACCAACATACAACAACCCCTCCCGCAGGAATACAGTAACCAGGACAGGAAATACACTAACTACCACTGGTGGTTTGTGTATGGCGCAGTATACAAATTGCCCGTTACTACCCAACTATTGGATATACTC